AAAAAAAAAAAAAAAAAAGCAAGGTGCAGAACAGTGGATGCAGTATGCTATCTTTTATGTAAGAAAGTGCAGAAAATATGGGAATAGGACATGAGTAAAACTTCTTGGAAAATACATTTGATTTTTGAACCATATAAAGCTATTGACCCTTCAAAATAAATTTTAAAAATATATAGGCAGGGCGCGGTGTTTCACACCTGTAATCTCAACATTTTGGGAGGCCGAAGTGGGAGAATCACTTGAGGGGTTTGAGACCAGACTGGGCCACATGGCATCTCTACCAAAAGAAATGAAAGATAGATGAGTAAAATTTCCCAGAGAAAATGCAAGTGCAAGATTAGACAAAGTCTTGGGTCACAATCCTGAGGACATTCACCTTTGTTTTTCTTTTTTTGAGATGGTGAAGTCTTACTCTGTTGCCCAGGCTGGAGTGCAGTGGCGAGATCTCAGCTCCCTGCAACCTCCACCTCCTGGGTTCAAGTGATTCTCCTGCCTCAGCCTTCCAAGTAGCTGGGATTACAGGCACCTGCCACCATGCCCAGCTGATTTTTGTATTTTTAGTAGAGACGGGGTTTCACCATGTTGGCCAGGCTGATCTCAAACTTCTGACCACCCGCTTGGGCCTCCCAAAGTGCTGGGATTACAGGCGTGAGTCACCATGCCCAGATCTATTCTGGATATTTCATGTAAGAGGAATCACACAATATGTGACCTTTTTTTTTTTTTCAAGACGGAGTCTTTCTCTGTTGCCCAGGGTGGAGTGCTGTGGTGCCCTCTCGGCTCACTGCAACCTCCACCTCACATGTTCCAGTGACTCTCCTGCCTCTGCCTTCTGAGTAGCTGGGACTACAGGTGCTCACCACCACGCCTGGCAAATTTTTTTGTATTTTTAGTAGAGACAGGGTTTTGCCATGTTGGGCAGCCTGGTCTCAAACTCCTGGCCTCAAGTGATCCTCCCGCTTTTGCCCCCCAAAGTGCTGGCATTATAGGCGTGAGCCCCTGTACCCAGCCAGTACGTGACCTTTTATTAGTCTTTTTTCACCCAGCATAATGTTTCTGAGGTTCATCCAGGTTGCAGCTTATATTAATTCTTCATTCCTCTTAACGGCTAAGTGGCCCTTCACATGCATAAGCCACTATTTGTTTATCCACACATTTTTAGAAGGGAACATTGATTTTTTAAAATAGGCTTTATTGGCTGGCCGAAGTGGCTCACGCCTGTAATCCCAGCACTCTGGGATGAGGTGGGCAGATCACCTGAGGTCAGGAGTTTTTTTTTTTTTTTTGAGACAACGTCTTGCTCAGTCAACCAGGCTGGAGTGCAGTGGCGCAATCACTGCCGCCTCAACCTCCGAGGCTCGAGTGATCTTCCCGCCTCAGCCTCCCAAGTAGCTGGGCTACAGGTGTGTGCCACCATGCTTGGCCGATTTTTACATTTTTTTGCTATGTTGGCCAGGCTGGTCTCAAACTCCTGGGCTCAAGTGATCCTCCTGCCTTGGCCTCCCAAAGTGCTGGGATTACATGTGTGAGTCATATGCTCAACCCCGGGGATCTCCTCTCTGTTGCCATCACCCCGTGGGCCCCTCACCCTTCTCATTTTCCTTCTCATTGGTAGTGGTATGTGGTTTTCTTCCTGTTGACCAGGACAAAGGTCCCAGCCATCACCCTGCCCTCCCCTTTTGTCTCCTCTCCTGTCCCACAAAGTTTGAACTTCCCAGCTTCGCCATGTTTAACATACCACCTCATCTTTAAAAATATATATATTTTTAAGCCAGGCACGGTGGCTCACGCCTGTAATCTCAGCATTTTGGGAGGCCAAGGCAGGAGGATCATCTGGGGTCACAAGTTCAAGACCAGCTTGGCCAACATGGTGAAATCCCACTTCTACTAAAAATACAAAAAAATTCGTTCCAACAACTTGACACTTCCAAGAAAAATTTTAAAAAATACAAAAACAAAAGCTGGATGTGGTGGCACATCCTGTGGCGGGTGCCTGTAGTCCCAGCTACTCGGGAGGCTGAGGCAGGAGAATTGCTTGAATTCGGCAGGCAGAGGTTGCAGTGAGCTGGGATCATGCCACTGCCTCCAGCCTGGGTGACAGACAGAGAGACTCCATCTTAAAAAATACATATATATTTTGAGACAGGGTCTCGCTCTGTCTGTCACCCAGGTTGGAGTTCAGTGGCGCAGTCTTGGCTCACTGCAGCCTTGACCTCTTGGGCTCAAGCCATCCTCCTGCCTTCGTCTCCCAAAGTGCTACGATTACAGGAGCGAGCCACTGTGCCTGCCTTACTGCCTCCACCTGTTCCTGAGGTTCCACTTGTCTAGACCTCTAGGGTGTTGTCCAGAAGGAACAGGGTCTTGTGGAAATCAGAAAAAAGAGGCCGATTCGGCCGGGCGTGGTGGCTCATGCCTGTAATCTCAGCACTTTGGGAGGCTGAGGTGGGTGGATCACCTGAGGTTAGGAGTTCAAGACCAGCCTGGCCAACATGGTGAAACCCTGTCTTTATAAATAAATTTTAAAAAAGAGACCGATTCGACAGCAGGCATCACCTTCTGAGGCATCGCCAAGTGGCTGTGATTAGGATTGGCCACCAGGGGGTGCAATGGAGCCACAGTCTGTGAAGGGACAGAAGAGGCCTTTGGGGAGACCCTGGAGGTTGAAGGTGGGGGTGCCAAGCTGAGGTCTTGGACATGATCACCTTGCCAGGCCAAGCCCCAGGAGGTCTCTGGTTGGTCCTGAGAGATCTGTCGAGGGTCCCTTCTAGCAGGCAGGTGGGCCTCAGAGAACAGGGACGGGCCCTGGGAGAGGGGATCCAGAGACAGGAGGAGTGCGTGTGGTGGGTGGGCAGGGGCGTTGGGACTGGCTCACTCCATTGTCAGGGGCTAAGTGTGTCCCAAGCCGTGTGGGTAGGAGCAGGAGCTTTCTCTGGGGGGTGTTGAAAGAGTGCACCTGTGAGACCCAACCTCCAGGGCCCCCAGGAGCCCAAGATGGACAGGGGATCTGTACTGCTGGGTGGGGCAGACAGGCAGGCAGCGCGGCAGGGGTATGGGGGGACAGGACAGGTGCCGGCTAGAGACGAGCTAAGGGGCGCAGGATGGGGCGTGAGCTAGAGGGCAGGGGAGAGGGGCCTGCATCCCAAGGGAACGCCAGCACCAGGTGCCAAGGCCCGGCAGCCCTGGGAATGGGTGGAGCCAAGGTCAATGGCAGTCAGAGAGCTTTGGAGTTGAGATGTTGGGTAGAGCAACCTCCTGAATATTTAAGTAAACTTGAAGTAGAACTTACTTAAAGTGCACAAATTGGCAGCTTGAATTCCTACCACCTCCCCTACAGAAGAGGTGGGCTTGTCTAAGACTCTGAGGGACAGTGTGGGGATCGCTGGTGCTCAGCCAGTTGGTGATGGAACAGAGATTAGAGCTGGACCCCTGAGGCTTAGCCCCACGCTCTCTTCCCCAACCCTGGGCCTCAGTCAGCCTCTGGTAATCCCTTCTGTGCTCAGGGCACCAGCGCTGATATTTCCCTTCAGCAAGGCAGGGGCAGGGAGTGAGGCTGCCAGAGCCCTGCTGGCGTCATTCTGCCTGGTATAGCTCGGGAGGTGGGGTGGGGGGATTAGAAGCCTCTGAGAACAGCACCGCATGCTGCTCGGGTAACACCTGCTACCACAGCCTCGCAGCCAGGAGTCCCAGATTTTCCTGGTTCCTGTGCCTGCGGACAGGCCCCCAGGGCGACTGGCTTTGTGAAGGGAACACTGAATGCCCTCTCCACTGTCCAAGTAGGTGGAACCCCAACCCCTGGGTGGGGTGGAGAGGCAGGAGCTGGCACGGCAGGTGAGTGAGGGGGATGGGCAGGTGCCGGTGAGAGAAGCACTAAGGGGCAAAAGATGGTGTGTGACCTGGAGGGCAAGGCATGCACTTTAAGGAGGAAAAAGTGGAATTCATGGAGCTTATTGTCTTGGAAGGCGGAGGGAGGGATGGCCTCCTCTAAGAACTGCAGATCTGCAGGATGTCTTGGGAGACAAGAGTGCCCAGAGGGACATGTCTGATGAGCTGGACGTGTGGGGCAGGGGGTGTCCTATGCACCCTCCTTGCCTGCTCCTCCCCATCCCCCAGGCCATTTGCAGCCCCCGGCTCCCTCTAACATCCCCACCCCCTACCACAAATCCTGTGTGTGTGTGGTCCAGTCTGAGCCATCTGGATAGAAGCAGAGGCTCCCTAAGGGCTCACTTTGATTAAGAGGCTTTTTCTCTAGGACCAAGGGCTGAGGCTACCTAAAAGCTTTCCGCCACAGGATCTTGCACCCAAAGGACCGTAATCTTCCCTCTGGGCAAGTAAGATAAACCATGAGAATGGTGGTGTGGGGGACCCGGGCACCACCCACTACACAGTTGCATTAGATGTGGTCATTGGAGTTTCACGAGTCCTGCATCTTCTCCCACCGTGGGCAGCAGGGTAAGGCTGGGGTGCTCCAGGCTCCACTGAGCCCTGCTCATCCCTCCCACCATCTCTGGGGCTCAGAAGCACCCAGAAGGCACCCTGAGACCAGTGTCTGCAGGTCTGCAAGGGGCACAAACCTCCATGCATCCTTCTGGCTGCGAGGGAAAGGTGGGGAGCCAGTGCCAATGTTTGCAGTCCCTGGTCATAGCCTCGGGAACCAGGGACCTGGGGAATGTGCCTATTGATTTGGGGGCTGGCTCCGCCCCAGTTCTTGCTGCAAAAGAGGCCAGATGCTCACTGTGTGTGGCCTGCCTCTCTTGAGATACGGATCAGACCCCTGTCTGTTCTCCAACAGGTGCTAGGAGGCCCTCATCGGCTTAGGAGGCCACTTCTGAAGCTGGGGCACCCCAGGGAGGCAGCAGTGGCCAGGATGTCCATGCAGAGCACCAACCCTCTGAAACCCAAGGCCCCGCATCAGCCGCCTGGGATCCCCAAGTCCCTGAGCTGTCAGCGGCGCCACACGCTCCCTGCCAGCGAGTTTCGCTGCCTCACTCTGGAGGACGCTGTCAGCGCCTTTGAGATTGAGCGTGAAGGTGAGGGACCGCGCATGGGGTGGGGGCGTGCTCCACTCTGGCCCAGCTATCCTGTGGGGAGGAGACCCTTGAGTCTCCTGTTCTTGGAGGCTGGGTCCCAGAGTATCAGACCAGGTGTGCGCTCAAGAAAGTGGGGAAAACAGCAGCCCTAAACCCCATTTTCCTGTGGGGAGCGGGACATCTGAGTGGACACTCAGGGTGCCGTGGGCAGTGGGTGTGAGGCACAGTGAACCAGTCACCCACCCGAGCCTCCTGCCGCAGCCTTCATCTCCGTCTTGGGCATCTGCCCCCTGTACCTGGATGAGATCCGGCACTTCCTGACCCTGTGTCCAGAGCTGTCCCTGGGCTGGTTCGAGGAGGGCTGCCTCGTGGCCTTCATCATCGGCTCGCTCTGGGACAAGGAGAGACTCATGCAGGTGAGGATGGGGCTGCGACGCCCAGCTCCTGGGAGGCCCCTGAAGACAGCCAGATGGTGGGGAGGGGAGACCAGGGGCTGAGAGAGTACAGGCCGCAGGACGCCTCCCTGGTATAGCTGCCTGGTATAGCTCGGGAGGTGGGGTGGGGGGATTAGAAACCTCTGAGAACAGCACCACATGCTGCAAGACCTTCTGGGTCTTCAAGTTTTCTCCATGGGGTTGGGGGTATGTCTCCCAGTTTGGGGCCCTCCTTGGCTGGGAAGGGAGCCCTGACTACAAGCACCCAGGGGACACCCTGCTCCCCACCTGGGTAGGTGGTTGGGGGGAAGCACACATCAGCAGAAGTGACCTGGGCTCTGGTCCCTTGCTCACCCCCAGGAGTCGTTGACGCTGCACAGGCCTGGGGGCCGCATAGCCCACTTGCATGTGCTGGCCGTGCACCGAGCCTTCCGGCAGCAGGGCAGGGGCCCCATCCTGCTGTGGCGCTACCTGCACCACCTGGGCAGCCAGCCAGCCGTGCGCCGGGCTGTGCTCATGTGCGAGGACGTGCTGGTACCCTTCTACGAGAGGTTCGGCTTCCACGCCGTGGGTCCCTGCGCCGTCAGCGTGGGCTCCCTCACCTTCACGGAGCTCCACTGCTCCCTGCGGAACCATCCCTTCCTGCGCAGGAGCAGCGGCTGCTGAACTGGGCTGCCCACGTGATCCCCTTCTCTGCCCTGGGTTCATCTCAGCTTGGCTGAGCATGGAGACAGCGGCTTCCAGAGAGTGGAGAGAGCAGGGCTAAATAAAGAAGAGATGGGGTGGCTTCTCGTGGCCTGAGCTGGAGTGGTGTGTCCCGTCTGTCCCCACAAGGCCTCTGGACCTCCTGTGTTCTGAACCCTGTGCCTGAGACTGGGCTGGGTTAAGTGGGGACAATGGGAGGCGCTGTGGGGTCCCTGCCTCCTTTCCTCCCTGGGCAGGTGGGCAAAGGCACTAAGGCGGATCCTCACAGGAGCCCAGTGCTCAGGGGGTCCTTATTCTCCCCAGCCTCATGGATGCCCCTTGTCACCCTCAGCCTCTGGGGTGAGGACAGTGGGGAGCAGGATGGGGCAGAGGTGGCCTGTGCTGTGGAGGCAGCTTGGGGCAGGGAAGCTGGGGCAGGGCCAGGCAGCCCCTCCCTGCCCTGCAGCCAAGGTTGAGCAGGTGGGGGTGGGAACCCCAGGGGCCTTCAAACCAGCCCTCCCAAGTGGATCCCCTGAGGTCTTCACATGACCCAATCTGGTTTCTGGTCCAACTAAATCCCCAAGAGGCTCCACAAGTTTTCTGCTGTCCACTGGGCCAAACCACGGTCTCTGAGCTGCTGATGGCTGACCCCTCACCCCCGCGTCCCAGGGTCATTCTACCTGAGGTCTCCATTAAGACAACACTGCCATAAAGAATATTATTTAATCCATAAGATATCCGTACAAAGTTAGCGTTCCTTTGAAAAATTAAGACTCTGATATAAACTGGTAGAAAACAGGCCTGATGAGCCTTGATCACCTGCTGGGGGCAGGCCTCAGGGTGGCTCCGCCCAGCCTCACTCCACCTGAGGTCTGCTTGTGTCTCCTCGCTTGCTTTCTGCCCCTAGACTATGGCCAAAGCCTCTCCTGAAATGTCCCATCTGAGAGCCTTACGGATGGGCTACAGGGCAGAGGTAGGACAAGCAGGAAGGGCCATGGTGGGCACCCGGCCCTGGGGCAACTAAGGGCACCGCCATGTCCCCAGCAAGGGCACGCTTGGGTAGTAGTGGGGGAGAAGGCACCATAGAGGCAGCGCTGAGGACCCTGGGAAGAAAAGGACCCTGCCCCCAGGAGATGGTCCCAGCAGGGAGCGGGAGGATGTCAGGACCCGGGACCCGAGGCTCGGAGAAGCAGGTGCCTTGGGTGTGCCGGAGCTTGGGCCAGGCTCTCGCAGGCCTCACGCCTCCAAAGAACCCGGCTTAACCGACCATCTCACACGGAGTCAGCCTCGCCTGGCAGTGGGGGACCCGAGTCCTGAGCCCGGGCAGTGTCTTGGGTCTCTGGCACGCAGGGCACTCAGCAGTGGGCAGCCCTCGCAGGCAGCCCCCGTGCCAGCAGTGCCGTGGCGCAGCCACTTGACCTGGGTCAGTGCAGCACCTGGTCCAGCTCGTACTTCTCGCAGAAGCGGCTGGTGAAGGGGAAGCAGGTGAGGTGCTCGATCCATGGCCAGTTAAAGGGGTAGATGTACAGCCAGAGCACCAGGCCGGAGAAGAGGCCGGCAAAGGCCAGCAGTGACACCAGGATGAGGGCCCGCTTGCGGTACTTGTCGCTGGTGCCGAAGGTGATGTAGGGCAGGAAGGCAAAGGCCAGCAGCAGGCCACTGAGGAAGCCGAAGATGTGGGCGATGTTGTCGATCCAGGGCAGGAGGCCGCAGGCGAACAGGAAGAGCACGATGCCCGAGAGGTTGAGGAAGGCCTTCCAGGGCCGCTCCAGCAGCGGCCAGCTCTGGAAGAGCTCCACGAAGAGGCAGGCGAGGAGGCCGAACTGTGAGCCGGCTGGTCCCACCTGGGGCGGGGCAGGGGAGATGCGGCTTCAGGCAAGCGTGGGCGGTCTGGGCCGGGCCTGTGCCCTGGGTCATCCCATTGATCAGTTCCTCCCTGGTAGGCACTGGGGACCCCTGAGGTTGAGGGGCCGGGGTCGGCTGGAGCTGCCAGACCAAAGCTGGGCCTGCTCTGTCCATTCTTTCAGCAAACACCGAGTGCCTACTGTGTACACCCCTGGTGTGGGTCACAGCAATAATACAGACAAATTCCGGGCCACACACGGTGGAGAGAGGATGGACACTGAGCAGGCTAGATTAGTCAGGTGGAACTGATCTAAGGCTGCTGACAGCACACGTGGGCCATTTCCTACCCCTCGGCCTACAAATACCCGGCATACTGCCAGGCAGTGGGCACGGTTATGAAGATAAATGAGGCAGTGGAGGGACAGGGTGACTCAGGAGCATCACTGTTCCCTCTCACTGGGATTAAGGGACCAGCCAGTCAGCCCCCAGCTTAGCTGTCCATCTGCCATGGAACCCGGCACAGGAGGGGCCGCATGTCCTTCAGGCAGATCCAGGTGGGTGGAACAGGAGCAGCAGGACTGGCCCCCTACGTGACGAAAGGCTTCAGACTCAAGAGGGTCCCCCCACCACATCTTTACCTCCGCCCGGTATGGGAGGAAGATGGCACTGGCGAGGTTGCCCGTGATGCCGCTGAGGATGAAGATGATGGCGATGCGGTGCCAGCCGGCCAGCTTCTCCAGGTCCCTCAGGATGGTCATTTGAAAGACCACCGACACGAGGCAGTGCACCACGCTGGGGAAGGGACACACCAGGTGCGGCCTTGAGTCAGGTGCTTCAGGAGCAGCAGGCTTCGGCGGGTTCCAGCCATGCCCAAGCCCACGAGCCCTTCTCCAGGGGTCTGGCTGGGCGACCATCACAGGGGCCGGGTTCGGGGGCAGTGAGGAGCCTCTTACCCGGCATGTAGGAAGAGAGACAGCCAGAGCCTATAGAACTGATCTGGGACCTCTGGGTTGAGGAAGGGCAGCAGCCCACACACCTTGTCCAAGCAGTGCACCTGGGGGTGGGTGGATGGTGCTCAGCACCCCAGAAGCCTGGGAGGGAGTGTGTGAGCCCCAGCCCCGGCATCCTCTCCTCCACCACCCCAGGCCTCGCCTCACCTGGGAGCAGAGCGTCGCTTCCTCGTGGAAATAGCCGTGCATGAACTCACAGTATTCCCGGGTGGTGATCTCACAGCTGGGTCGACGGTGAGGCAAGAGGGGGCATCAGGGCCCCCAATAACCACTGCCCACCTTGCCCAGAGCCCAGAACCTGGCTACAGCAGGCATCACTGGCAGGAAGGGGGATGCCCCTTACAGGGCCTTCAACTCTGGAGCAAGCTCCCTTCCTCCAGCTCACACCATGGGTGACCCCAGAGCAGGGGAGGGAAGGACAGTTATCGGAGGGCATTGACCCAGCAGCTGTGGGTGGTGACGGTGGAGGAGCAGAGGGCCCACAGGAAACTACAGCTCGGGGGGCGGCGGGACAGGCCGAGGACAGGCCCAGGTGGCTCACCTGCCCTTGGTGCCAATGCAGCAGGGGCGGCCCTTGATCTTGCAGTCTATGTGCAGGAAGCCCGTGTGGTTGCTCTTGGCCTGCTCTGTGCAAATCTGCCGGGAGGGGCACCGGCAGGGGAGTGGGCCTGTGCAGTGGGCAGGTTCCCCAACCCCGACCTTCCCAGACACGCCTGCCAGGGATACTCACCGGCCACTTGGTGATGTCATTGGGCCAGATGTGGGCACCACTGGAGGCTGGCTCCTCACAGGTCCTGGAGACAGACATCAGATTGGGCTGTGGCACCCCCAGCCTGCCATGTCCACCCAGCCATGTCCCTGTGGGTGGCTCCGACGGCCTGACCCCGAGACCCAGCAGAGGCTCCAGGCCCTACCTGGGGTCCTGGTGACAGACAGCCCCTGATGTCCGCTTCTGGCCCAGATCAGACTTGTCCATGGGGGGCCCAGTGTCATCCTGCCACTTGACAAAAGTGGCCAAAGTCTCCTGGAGGGCAGAAGAGGGCTGGTCAGTCACGCCAGGGCCAGGTCACCCCCACTGGAGTGGGCAAGGATGGAGGCTTTTCCCATCTTCCCAGGGCTCAGTCTCATCTAGGGGGGTCTGGGGAAGGGTGGGATAGGGAGGAGGGAATGTGGTCACTGCCCTTGAAGGGCCCATCCCCCAGGCCAGGGCAAGTGGGGCTGGCCCGGGGACAAGGGTCCGGCAGGGGTGGGACGGAGGGCCTGCCCCCACCGAGCAGTCCTTCCGCTGGGTCTGGATGCAGCCTGAGTGGTCGTTCTGGACACAGCAGCCTGAGTCCCGCTCCAGGTCTCGCTCCCGCTGCACCAACTGCTCGATCTGCCTGTCCTTCCGGATGCAGGGCGAGAACTTGGCCCCCAGGTGGATCAGGTCAATCTGGCGGAGGGGAGTGGAAGGGAGCAGAGGGGAAGGGAGCGGAGGGGACAGGAGGGGAAGGGAGCAGAGGGGAGGGGAGAGGAGGGGAGGGGAAGGAGAGAGTGAGTTTGGGCCCCAGACCTGGGAGGGATCCATCACTCCACCTCTGCTTTGTGGAGTTTCCCCCTGATGAGGGGCCTGCGGGTGGGTGAGCAGCCCACCTGCCCAGCCGGGGGTGACAGGGCACAGGGGCTCCTGGCTCAGATGATGTCCCCCAGCATGGATCCTCACCGAGCTGGGGCCGACCCAGAAGTTCTCCTGCTGGATGTACTTCACGCTCTCGTACACACCTTTGTTCCGCAGAACCTGTCACAGAGCACAGAGGTAGTGCAGGGAGGGCGTCAGAACAGCGTGGACCCTGGTTGTGGGGGGCGGGGGCAGCCGTCCCCAGTGCAGAGCCTCCAGGAAGGGGCCAGATAGTTGTGGTGGGAGGGATTAGGTACCCACGACACTGAGGCCTCCTGGGGGAGGCTGGGACTCCCAGCATGGAGCCTGACTCACCAGCTGGGTGGTGATGTGCTGGGCAAAGCCCACAGGTGCGATGCCATACGTGCAAATCACCAGCAGCGTGATGATGACATGGACGAAGGTCAGCCAGTAGGTGAAGTAGGGCCTGTGTAGAGAGGCCTCGGGTCAGCCGAGCCGAGCTCCTATGCCATTCTCCAGTCCCGGCCCAGTCGCCTGGCTCCGCCCTGTCAGCTCATCTCAAACCAGACCAACTTTGAAGATGCACCTCCAAGCATCTCTCTCTCCCGGCTTAAAACCCTCTGACAGCTTTCCACTGCGCTTGGGACAAATTCCAGAATCACCCCCTCTTGCTGGCTGCAAAGCGTCACCTGCACGACCACCTCTCTGGCCTCTGTGCCTGCATTTCCTGGGATACTTTGCTCTGTGCAGCCCCAGGGCTTTTGCACATGACACCACTGTTTGTCCTGACCGCACCCCTCCCCACCAGCTGTTCACTTTCTCCCGGTCCTCCTCTGGGACTCCCACCACACCCATCTTTTTTTTTTTTTTTGAGACGGAGTTTCGCTCTTGTTACCCAGGCTGGAGTGCAATGGCGCGATCTCGGCTCACTGCAACCTTCGCCTCCTGGGTTCAGGCAATTCTCCTGCCTCAGCCTCCTGAGTAGCTGGAATTACAGGCACGCGCCACCATGCCCAGCTGATTTTTTGTATTTTTAGTAGAGACGGCGTTTCACCATGTTGACCAGGATGGTCTCGATCTCTTGACCTTATGATCCACCCACCTCGGCCTCCCAAAGTGCTGGGATTACATGCTTGAGCCACCGTGCCCAGCCTCTTTTTATTTTTTTTTAAGACAAAAGTCCCACTCTGTCACCCAGGCTGGAGTACAGTGGTGCAATCTTGGCTCACTGCAGCCTCTGCCCCCAGGTTTAAGCCATTCTCCTGCCTCCGCCTCCTGAGTAGCTGGGATTACAGGCGCCCACCATACCTGGCTAATTTTTTTTCTTTTTTTTGGTATTTTTAGTAGAAATGGGGTTTTACTATGTTGGCCAGGCTGGACTTGAACTTCTGACCTCAAGTGATCTGCCCACCTTGGCCTCCCAAAGCGCTGGGATTGCAGGTGTGAGCCACCACACCTGACAGTTGCTTGTTATTTTCTAATTTGGGCCCAGTGTTTATTGGGCTGCTACAAATCAGAAGCCCTGTTCTTCTTCCCCAAGGGCTCTGCATGGCCTCCCCCAGGCTCCCCTCACTCCCAGCCCATTTGTTTTTTGAGACGGAGTTTTGCTCATTGCCCAGGCTGGAGTGCAATGGCATGATCTCGGCTCACTGCAACCTCCACCTCCCAGGTTCGAGCATTTTCCTGCCTCAGAGTCCTGAGTAGCTGGGATTATAGGCATGCGCCACCATGCCCTGCTAATTGTGTATTTTTAGTAGAGATGGGGTTTCCCCATGTTGGTCAGGCTGGTCTCCAACTCCTGACCTCAAGTGGTCCGCCCAGCTTGGCCTCCCAAAGTGCTGGGATCACAGGTGGGAGCCACTGTGCCCGGCCCCCAGCTTCTTTTTTAAAAGTAGAGGTAGGATCTCACTATGTTGCCCAGGCTGGTCTGAAACTCCTGGGCTCAAGCAATCCTCCCACCTTAGCCTCCCAAAGTGCTATAATTACAAGTGTGAGCCCTGGCCCCAGCTTCTAACTGGCCTCTGACCCAGCCTGCCCTCCCAGCTCCATCTCCAGAGGCTCCATTTCAGGGCCTGCAGGCAGTGACACTCCAGGAAGATTTGTTGACTGGCTGCTGTCTGGGAGCAAGGCTGAGGAGGCAGGCTCAGAAAGCATGGGGTGAAGGAGAGGCAGCAAGCACCCAGGCCCTTCCCAGGTCACGTGCACAGCCCTTGGGTCAGGGTGCACCTTCGAGGGTGTCACTACACTCTTGACCCGCAGGAGATGCTCATGAAAGGTTCACTGAATGAGTCAGGGGGCGCTTCAGGAGGACCCAGAGGAATCTGGAAGCTTCCAGGCCCTCCTGGAGGCTCCAGGGAGGCGCCTCACCGGTGGCTGTCGAAGCTCTCCAGCTGCCGCTGCACGGTGCTGCTGATGCTGCGGCGGTAGCTACGGTTCAGCCAGTTGCCCACCACGCCCAGGCCGTAGTGCCGCTTCTTCCGATCAAAGGCAAAGTGCTTCACCTTGGAGGCGATGCGCTTGCCGCGCCGGGGACCAGGGACTGGGGCTCGGCCATACTCCTTCCTGGTGGGGATGGTGGCTTTCAGCCTGATGTCTCCCCCACAAAATACTCCCAGACCCCACCAGGGTGATCAGAAAGGGCTTGGTGGCCAGGGTGAGGTCTGGGGATGTCCCCAGGCTGGTGGCTGGCCTGGAGGAGGGACTGCCCCAGCACTCACAGAGGGATTTGCACCCCATCAGGGGAGACAGGGGAGGCTGAGTGTGGGATCCCTCGGAAGTAGCTGGCAGAGAGTGGGGGGGACTCAAAGACATCGTCAGGCATGGAGCTCATTTCTTCCTGGGGTGGGGGACAAGAAAACACAGTGTAAGGAGTCTGTCCCAAACACTGCACCCCAGCACCTCAATTCAAGGGTAGGACACGGCTGGACAGACAGGCTCTTCACGATGAGGCAGGAAGCCACATGCCTGTCAGCCCCAGTGGTGGCACTGTGCCCCACCCCAGATCCTCACTCTACCCAACAGAAAGATGGGGGCCCAGCAGCTCCACACAGGACCATGCCACATTCCGCCAGTGGGCCTCTAGCCTCCTCACCCAGCTCCCAGGCCACCTCACCCCTCCCGTCCCTGAGGACCCACACCCCATGCTTGCCTTACTAAAAAACGAGGAGTCAAATGTGTCTGCCCCATCAACCACATCCTCCTCCAGGAAGCTCGGGAAGGCAAAGCTGCGCTTGATCACCCGGCACCGCTGTCCGGTGGCATCGAGCACCGAGCGCCCCTGTGCACAGGCAGAGGCACGGGTATCAGGACCAGGGCCCGGCCATCCAGGCCCCCAGCCCCAGCACCGAAGGAATCATCAAGCCCATCTGCCTGCAGGCAGCACCTTGGGCGGAGGGATCCTGCCCAAAGCATGGAGGTTCTGCAAGCTGAATGGGCAGGAGGAGCTCCTGAGACGGGAAGGTCAGGACGTGGGGCACCAGCTTCTGTTGGCACACCACTCTTGGCACAGTTTGGAGTCACCTTCCCCTGGTCCTGCTGCCCCTCTGGCTTGGGCTGCTGGTATCCTAACACTCAAAGCCACCCACACACTATATCCTTACTCCCGAGGCTCGGGCCGTGTCTCCATCCTGTTTCTTGGCACAGAATACCAGGCCCCTGCCCACCTTTCTGATCCCATCTCCTGCCACTGCTCCCATAACTGCCCGCTGCTCCCTCAAAGCACCGCACTTCCTCCTGCCTCCTGGCCCTTGCATAGGCCATTCCCTCTGCTGAGAATGCTGTTCCCTTCCCTCCCTAGTGAACATCTCCTTGTTTTTCTATGATTAACTCGATGTCTTCCCTGATACCAGCCACTCTCCTAAATTGACCACCCTGAATGGCGACCCTCACCCTGGGCTGGGAGCTCAGCCAGGACGGTGATGGCTCTGCACACTGTGCCCAGCACATAACAAGGACTGGGCAAACCCGGGTGGGTGAGGAGCGAGTGTACGTCTCACTTCCCACTTCCCCAGCTTAACAGTCAGTGCAGAGACCAGGTTCCCAAACTGGGCAGGTGCCGGGGGGCCATAGAGACTGAAGACAGACAGAAGGATGGAAGCTGGGGTGCTGTGCTTCGGGGTCCCTCTTTGCCCAGGGATCCCAGCACACCCACTGTCCTTGGCACTGAAGGCAGATGCCCGGGTGAGCTTTAGGAGATGCTCCTATGAGGAGTGGAAGGGAGGGGCAAGGGAGGGAGGCTGGGCAGAGGTGGGGGAAGACGGGCACAGCAGGTGGGGGAAGACGGGCACAGCAGGAGGGGGCCCCACACCTTGATGAGGGCAGCAGCAGCTTGGAAACTCATGTGAGCCACAGACATCCTCTTGCGGCGTGGCAGATGGGAGTAGCCAGAGCGGACGCTGGTGAACGAGGTGAGGGACAGGACTCCGGGGGTCAACGGCGGGTGTGGGGCGTGGGGCCTGTCCACCTCCTCTGGGTGGCGGAAGGCCCGGCCCCGGGCCAGTGGATCCACAATCTGGAAGGGAGGGGGCAGTGAGCAGAGCCGCTAGGGTCCCCACCCCTGCTCCCTTTCCCTGTGGATCCCACCTTGGGCAGCTTGCAGGGCTTTGGGGACTCAGTGCCCTGGAAGGATGGCACCTCCTGGCTGGGGAGCTCCAGGTCCCGCTGGCACGAGGCCTTCAGGCGGCCGTAGCGCACGCTGCAGTGGTGCAGGCTGCGACGCTGCCACTGCTGCCGCTGCCCCTCCCAGTCGCCGCTGACTCCAAACCACTGGGCTGCACCCCTGCGGGAGCAGACAAGAAGCAGGTGGGCATGAGCTTGTCTGTGCCTGTGCACCTGAATGTGTGGAAGCGGTGATGGCACGTGTGCCTGCGTGCCTGCAGGGGTTTGGGGGGCGGATCCACCTGTGAGGCCCCTGGCTGGAGCCCAGTGACCAGATGAGCAGAAGCAGGGGAAGACTAGAGCGTGAGGAGCCAGACTAGGGCCCCAGGCACCCCCCACGCTGATCCAGCCAGCTCCTCGAACCCCCTCAGCCTCTACACTGTGACATTCTGCAAGGCACACACCCGCCTCCCCATCTCTACCATGACATTAGGCTGCAGGGAGACACTGCTCTTTAATGCCTGCCTACTCCTTCCAGAGAGGGGACGCAGGGACCAGGCCCAGTAATGTCCAGGCACCAAGAATCCACAGGTTGCTGGGTGGGGGGCGCTGGGCTTGGGTGTGGGGGCTCACTTGCGGATGCTCTGGGACAGCGAGGCCTGGCGGCGGAAGCCGGGGCGCTTCTCTGAGCTCTCCTGCCATCGGGCCCGTGGCTCCTGGAGGCTGACGCTCTTCAAGAAGGCTGGGTTCTTGGGCCTCTTGGGGAAGAAGGAGGGAGGGCAGGCAGTGACGTGTGCAGCCCAGGTCCGAGGTTGGCTCTTCTTTAGCCTCCCATTCTGAAAATCCTGAGAACAAACCTCAACCCCAATCTGCTTTCACTGTGAATATATGTATATGTATATATGCTTTCTTGAGACGGAGTCTTGTTCTATCGTTCAGGCTGGAGTGCAGCGGTACAATCTTGGCTCACTGAAACCTCTACCTCCCTGGTTCAAGTGATTCTCATGTCTCAACCTCCCAAGTAGCTGGGATTACAGGCACCCGCCACCACACCTGGCTAATTTTTATATTTTCAGTAGAGATGGGGTTTCACCATGTTGGCCAGGCTGGTCTCAAACTCCTGACCGCAAGTGAAGCGCCCACCTTGGCCTCCCGAAGTGCTGGGATTACCGGTGTGAGCCATCTCGCCTGGCCTACATATATACTTTTTGAGATGGAGTCTTGCTCTTGTTGCCCAGGCTGGAGGGCAGGGGCACCATCATAGCTCACTGGAGCCTCAACCTCCCAGGCTCAAGCAAGCCTTCTACCTCTGTGTCCTAACTAGCTGGGATTACAGGCATGTGCTACCACACCCAGCTCATTTTTTTTTTTTTTTTTTTTTTTTAAGTATTTTCCAGAGACAGGGTCTTGTTATGTTGTCTAGGCTGGTCGTGAACTCCTGGGCTCAAGTGATCTGCCTGCCTCAGCCTCCAAAAGTGATGAGATTACAGGCCTGAGGCCACCGCGTCCAGCCTCCTTCTGAATTTAAAATCGCCATTGTGTAGTGTTTCTCCGTCAAGCCCAGCGTGTTTCCCTAACTCATCACCCAGTCCCTCCCCTCTGCACCATGACGCTCCTGCCTGCTGCTGCGTCCTCTGCAGAGCTCTGGGCTGAGCGGGTGGTGTTCACATCGTTTCCCTTTATACTCCAGGCTGCGCGGGAAGCCCACGCTGCTATGAGCCTGTTTCAATGAGCTCTTTATGGAGCAACAGCCCAGACTGTCGGAAACACTGATTCATTTTCACTATCTTCCAAAGGAACCAGGTACTGCCTAGGAAGGCTGCTGATGCCAGGGAGACACTGTCCCTGCTCACCCGTGTCAAAGACAGCCCCCAGCCCTCAGAAGAGAGACCAAGAGTCCAGCAAGCCCTTTCTCGGGGCTGGCACTTCCTATCCGCCTGTGACCATGATGAGAGTGAGCCCGGTTCCCAGCCTGACTCCCTGTGATTATTTTGGACCCAGGAAGGAGGGGGTGAGGTCGAGTCAAGGGCTGCACAGGCAGCAGCTGTGGCTCAGGAAGAGCCTCTCTAGGAAGTGAAGCTGTCCAGAAGGTGTCATGTGGGCACATCTGTTGCCTGTAGCAGGACAGTGAGCCCCCAGGCTGGCCCCCTTACCTCAGGCAACATGCTGTCCTGCTCGCCAGGGGCCGGGGTCTCTTTCTCGGGGGGTGGGATGGTGATGGAGAGATTGGGTGGCTTCCGGCTCTGCAGGCGGCTGCTGGACACAGAAGACACGCTCCCGCCATTCTTGTCAGCAGAAGCCATGGTGGGCAGGAGGCGGGAGGGCTGGAATGGAGACCGGGAGAGCGGCGGTGGGTGGTGGAAGGGGTGGCAGGGTATCAGGACCCTGATGCCAAGGCACGACGAGAACCGACCGACCAGCCCAAAGTTGTTTCAGACATCTCTGGGGACTAAATCCAGCCTGAAAATCCCAGCACTTTGGGAGGCTGAGGCAGGCAGATCACCTGAGGTCAGGAGTTTGTGACCAGTCTGGCCAACAAAGCAAAACCCTGTCTCTACTAAAAATACAAAAATTAGCCAGGCATGGCGGTGCATGCCTGTAATCCCAGCTACTGGGGAGGCTGAGGCAGGGGAATCACTTGAACCGGAAGGGGTGAGCCAAGACGGCGCCATTGCACTCCAGACTGGGGTGACAGAGCGAGGCTCCAACTCAAAAAAAAAAAATAAATAAATAAAAAAGAGCATGAAGATGAAAAATGTACAGCTGGAGTGCTCTTGACTGCCTCATCAGGGGTAGGCCGGGGGCATAGGGTGGCTTCTTGTAGACAATGGGTCCTGCTTTTGTCTCTGGACAGGAGGGGTCGAGGGAGGACAAGAAGGCTCCGGGACAACCTGGTGCTCCCAACAAGCTCGGCCGGGCAGGTTCGTGCTACGCTCCCAGGGCCAGCTGTGCAGGAAGCAGGTGGCTTTTGGAGGAGGGCTCCTGAGCTGTGCAGCAGGAAGTGGCAGCTCAGCCAAATGCCCAGAGAGATGAGAAACCTACTGTGCTGGTTCCTGTCCCCCAAGCCCACCCGGCTCATTTTTCTTTTTCTGTAGAGGCAGGGATTCTCCATGTTAGCCAGCCTGGTCTGGAACTCTTGGGCTCAAGACATCTGCCTGCCTCAGCCTCCCAAGCGGCGTGCACCTGTAGTCCCAGCTACTTGGGAGGCTGAGTCAGGAGCAGAACTTGAACCTGGGAGGCGGAGGTTGCAGTGAGCCGAGATTGCGCCACTGCACTCCAGCCTGGGTGACAGAGTGATAATGTCTCAAAACAAAACAAAACAAACCAAAACAAAAAAAATGAAAACACAATTAGCTAGGTGTGGTGGCACATGCCTATAATCCCAGCTACTTGGGAGGCTGAGGCATAAGAATTGCTTGAACTCAGGAGACAGAGGTTGCAGTGAGCCAAGATCATGCCATTGCACTCCAGCCTTGGCGAGAGTGAGACTCTATCTCAAAAAAAA